GTATTGCCTTCCAAGGGAGCTGATACCAGGCCCCAGAGGGGTGAAGTGACTTGCCCAGGGTCACTCAGTGAGGAGCGGCTGAGTGGAGACCTGAATCCAGAGGCTGCTGGACTCCAGGGCCGAGGCCATGTGCAGGCACACAGCTCCTGGCTCTGCTTATCTGAGGTGCGGCCACCTTCTGCTTGCTCGAGCGGGAAGGTGCAGAAGGCAGGCTGTTGGGACGCACCCAGTCCTCCTCAGGATGCTTCCTGAGATTCACAGCTCCCGGGAAGCAGCTGTGGGCGTTCCTGGAAAGCTGTGCGAGGAGGAAGGTCACAGGCTGTGTCCTCAGCTGTGAAAGAGGAGTGTTGCCTCAGCCTCCTGGGTTGTGCAGGTTGAGAGGAAACAGGCTTGAAGGGGACTTGGGGATATCCCAGCCCAAAAGGGGCTAAGTTTCCCTGCCGGACACTCCACTCAGCCCCCGAGCCCCAACACACCTGGGCAAGGGAGCTGCTATTGGGAATCCGCAATGAAAAAGGCTCCTGGGTGCCGAGAAGGTCCTGGAAAGAGATCCGAGTCGAAGGAAAACAGGCACAAGTCCTGACTCCTGACAAAAGAATGCCTTGGTCGGCTGGAGACTGGGCAACTTTGATCCTTGGACTAGTTCTCTGAGCGCTTGTGCTCAACATGTGACTATGATGGTGCCGACTGGAGAGCGCTTCAGAGGCCAGCAGATCACTGTGCTGTTGGCCTGTGGGTGGACCGCCGGCGAAGCCAGCTGCGGAGCCGGAGCCAGCGTGTGCAGAGCCGGGCCCACGAGTATCTTCACTTTAAACTTAATTTATTGATTGATTGATTTTAGAGAGGGAGGGAGACATATTAATTTGCCGTTCCACTTATTTATGCACTCATTGGTTAATTCCTCATTCCTGTATGTGCCCTAACCGGGGACCCAACCTGCAACCTTGGCGTATTGGGACGACGCTCGAACCAACTGAGCTACACATAGGCCAGGGCTGCATCTTAATTTTCTCTTCTCTTCTCAAACCTGAAATAAATGCTAGTTTTAAAACTATAGCAATAAACAAATAGGTAAAATGAAGCAGCAGGGCCTGTGCCTACCACGTGTCGCAGGTGGGTCTCTCCCTGCCCCCTCCCCTGCCCTTAGCCAGTGCAAGAACAGAAGGTCCTTGGCCTTTGGTGGCGGAGTTCACCCCAGATCAAATTCTCTAACCTTCAGAACAGGGTCCCAGGATTGTAAGCACAGTGGATGGGGCTCTGTCTCGGGATTTTAGGAGAACAGACAAGCTTTGGGCACAGCTGGGCTGCAGCAGTTTTTTCTTTTTTCCTGCCTTCAGCCGTGGCAGCCTGCTCCTCTGGAAAGGCAGCTCCTAATTAGAATGGATCGAAGAGTCTTTGCTCCAGCTTTGTTCTCAGTCTCCATTGAATCGTTGCTTTAAGACTTAATCTGGTGCAGTCACTGGTGGGCTGGGATCCTGGGCTCTCTGAGCTCCCCTCTGGCTTGTTGTGGCTGGCATGGGGTGGGGGGGCAAGCACCGAGAGCTTGGCAGTGCCACTCTGCACCCTCTCACTCCAGGCCTCTTCCTTTCCTCTTTTTCTCCCCACCTACTGTCTCTCCCTTTAATTTCCCTTCATTAACAACCCAAGGCTGTCCAGGGTGCCAGTCCCTGCTGGTGGGAGTATAAATTGGTACAATTTCTCTGGAGGGCAATTTGTCAAATGCTATTAAAAGCCTTAAAAAAGTGCATGGGTTTTGACCTGGAAAGTTCCCTTCTAGGAATTGGTCCTGTAGAGATAATTGGACAGGGGTCCACACAGATGTGCAGGGGATGTGGCCCTCAGTGCTTTCCATGAGTGACAACTTGGAAACCTGGGTCTGTCTACAGGGGTGTCATTCAAACGATCATGTGATAAAGCATCGGGAAAGAGCCTTTGGGAGCTAAACGGGGAAATTTGAATCTTGACCAGGTGGTAGATGCTCCTAGGGAATTACTGTTAATTTTGGTCGGGTGTGATACTGGCCTTGTGATCAGTTTAGAGACACTGACAGAGGGGTTGGTGTCTGGTTTAAACTGTTGTAACAATAACAGTAACAGAAGGGGACAGGGTGAGGCAAGGCTAGCAGAGGCCTGCAAGTTCTGGTTGACGGGTAAATGAGTGTCCATTGTATTGTTCCCTCTATTTTTGGGTATGTTTAAAATTCTTCATGATTTAAAAGGAAATAAAATAATTATGTAAAACCCTATTTCTTGACCTGAAATGATGTCCACAAGATAGTAAGTGAAAATAGCACATGTGGCACTATCGTATTTTCTTCTTTATACTTTTCCATAGTTTCCACACCCC